CTCGCAGGCGCCGGCCCGCGGAGGCCCGGCGTTTGTTGTCCCGAGTCCCGGCCCGCGCGGAGGGTGCGGGCGTCGCGGGAGATCTAGAGCGGGGAGGACCGGGATCGGGGCGCCCCGCGTCTGCGGGGTTCTGGGAGGAGCGGGGACGGGCGCCCCGCGTCTGCGGGGTTCTGGGAGGAGCGGGGACGGGCGCCCCGCGTCTGAGGGGTTCTGGGAGGAGCGGGGACGGGCGCCCCGCGTCTGCGGGGTTCTGGGAGGAGCGGGGACGGGCGCCCCGAGTGTGCGGGGTTCTGGGAGGAGCGGGGACGGGCGCCCCGCGTGTGCGGGGTTCTGGGAGGAGCGGGGACGGGCGCCCCGCGTGTGCGGGGTTCTGGGAGGAGCGGGATCGGGGCGCCCCGCGTCTGCGGGGTTCTGGGAGGAGCGGGGACGGGGCGCCCCGCTCCCCGGATTGGGGTCACGACCCGGCAGCTGCTTCCCCCGCGGGCGGCGGGGCGTCGGGAAGCCTCTAATCACCCCACGCCGCGTGGCGGGCTGGGCAGGCACTCCTGCAGTCTCGGCCCGGAACCGGCTTGGTGGGGTGCGCCGCGGGGTGCCCGCCAGGGCCGGGGAGGCCCCGCCCCGGGCCTGTGACCGCGTCCACTCGGCCCCGACTTCCACCCCCCGAAGCTGGGCGGTGAGTTCCTGTCCCCACACGCGGGCCCGGCGCCCCTCGCCTCGCTGGGGGCCCCGCGCCCCTCGCCTCGCTGGGGGCCCCGCGCCCCTCGCCTCGCTGGGGGCCCCGCGCCCCTCGCCTCGCTGGGGGCCCCGCCTTGGGACGTCAGCCTCTGGGAGGAGGTGAGGGGCCCGGCCCAGCCTTTCCACCCGGACGCACCTGCAGCTTCGGACCTGGTCCTGGCGCAGACGGTGTCTCCAGCTCGGTGCTAGGCACCAGGCTGTGCCCGGGCGGGGCACCGGTGCGCACACGTGTGATCCCAGCTACTCAGGAGGCTGAGGTCTGAGGATCCAAGTGTGAAAACAAAGTCCGGGACTCTTAATCTCTAATGAACCACCAAAATAGCCGGAAGTGGAGCCCTAGCCTGGAGCACAAAAGCTGAGGGACAGCCCTCAGGCCCTCAGTTCAAGACCCAGGATTTGCACACGCACACGCAGCCTTCACCCGAGGTGGAGGCTCCCCCTGCCAGCCCCTCCCTTTCCACCCCTGCTTGGGGACCTCCCTACCTCACCTCCCTGGTGTCTTTCTAGAAAAACATCTGTCAGGCCCTTGGGAAAGGAAAGTTGGGGTAACTCTCTTCCCACCCCCACCTCAATCCTCCAGGCTGAAGGGATCTCGCTGGAGCACCCCAGGAAGCTTGTTCCATGCCCACTGTACCCCCAGGCCCTTGGTCCCCACCCCTGCTGCCTGCCAGTCATTTAGCTGTCTGCAGGGGATGCAGAGGCCTCCAGGAGAAGCCGGCCCTGCATCCAAAGACCCCCAAAGCCTCTCTTCCCCAACCTTCCTTTTATCCCTTCTGGCCTCCCAATTCCCACCCTCCAGGCTAATCCTGGCCCAGCTTTGCTTTTTTTTTTTTTTTGCCAGTCCTAGGGCTTGACCTCCGGACCTGGGCGCTGTCCCTGGACTTCTTTTGCTCAAGGCTAACGCTCTGCCACTTGAGCTGCAGTGCTGCTTCCAGCTTTTGCTGAGTGGTTTACTGGAGGTGAGAGAGACTTTCCTGCCTAGGGCTGGCTTCCAGCCACAATCCTCAGATCTCAGCCTCCAGAGTAGCTAGGATGACAGGCCCCAGCTACCAGCCTTGTTTTCTCGGGAACGGTTTACCTTTGAACCTCAAACCCTAGATCTCGCTTGAAAGCCTCCCTGGGCCAGTTAGGGTTCTCCCTCCCTTCGGTACTTTTCCACGCCCTGCCTTCCTGCTCGTACCCACCCCCTGGACCTCTGCGAAGCACTCCAGGCAGAGCTCTGGTTTTCAGTGTGGGAACAGACCGGCTCATAGAGGGAGACCATCTAGCCATGTAAAGGGTGTGGGGAGATGCCCCCCCCTCTGCTTAGATGGATATAGGATTCTGGGGCCTTCCTGGAGCAGACAGGGCAGGGGTTGGAGCCCAGGATTGGGGGTAGAGGGGGCAGTGGTAGGACCAGAACCAGACCTGGGTAGTGGAGAGGAGTGGGTGGCACCTCTGTCTACCGCATGAGTTCCTTCACCAAAGTTGGTGGCCTTTGGGGTGAGGGCCCCATCCCACAATTGAAGGAACAGGACCCCGAGGTGACAGCATGTGAGACTTCTGGCTGCACACAGTAGCTCACTATAGTGGCTTCTGCCAATTCCAGAGTCCCGCATTGGGAGCGTGGGGGAGGGGGGGGGAGGGGGAGAAGGTGGGGGTGGTGCGCTTCGGTGCAGGGAAATGCTAGGCAGGGATCCCAGGGCCTCCCTGGACTCCTGGCATGACTCAGGCCATCCAACTTCCCCCCAGAGCCTCAGTTCCTCTGTGTGTGCGCACGCGCGCATGCGCGTGCACATGCGTGTACATACACACGCGCCTGCACACAACAGTTCACGTGGGACTTGAACTCAGAGCCTAGGCACTGTTCTTAAGCTTTCTGGCTCAAGGCTAGTGCTTTACTGCTTAAACCACAGCTCTACTTACAGCTTTTTGGTGGTTCATTGGACATAAGAGTCTCACAGACTTTTCCTACCCAGGCTGGTTTTGAATCCTGATCCTCAGATCTCAGCCTCCTAGGATTACAGGCATGAGCCACTAGTGCCCAGCCAACGTTCAAGTGATCCAGTGTCTCAGCCTGTAATCAGCGCTCTGGGATGTATCGCTCCCTGCCCAGCCTGGAGAAACTCCTCAAGACCCTGTTGACAACCATCTCCTTGTGCCTTTCTACCCCCCTGCACCCCACAAAGCATCTTTTGTACAAGGCGGTGTCTCAGGTCAGCTGGGGTGGTGGGTGGTGGTGGAGATTGGCCCAACTGGAGCCTGCACTAATAGATAACAGCAGAGGACCCCTCCCCCTCCCCCACAGCTGCAGGCACCAGTCCTTGTGGACAAGCAAGGCTGGGAGTCCTGGTGTATAGTCAGCTGGGCCCCTAGCTGCGAATTTGCTTTATCAGAGGCTGCAGACTACCCTGCCCATGAACGAAATGCATGGGGGACCAAGGCAGTGTGGGCCCAGCCTGCTGCCCAGGCACCCATGCAGGGAAATAGGGAGGATGGGGAGATAAGAGGACCATTTGGAGACTGCATCTGCCCTTGGGGGCTCCCGGGAGCACTGAAGGATGGTCACTCACAATTGCTTGGGGGAGTCAGGTGCAAAGAAGTCAGTTGCTGGGTGCCAGGGTGGCTCATACCTGTCATCCTAGATACTCAGGAGGTGAGATCTGAAGATCACAGTTCAGGGCCCTGGAGCCCAGCGGAGAGCAGCACTGGGGACAGCTGGGAGCTGCCTGGCCCTGCAGCTCAAGGCTGTTCTGCTCCTCAGATTCTGCCCTGGCAACAGGGACCCTTTCTCAGCTGTCCTAACCGATCCTGCAATCACTACAAGCAACACCTTAAATGTCCGCAGACTCAGACCCCTCCTGCTTCTCAGCTCTTAGCCCACCCCCAGGCCCACGAGGTGTCTTCCGGTGGCACAGGAAGTCAAGAGCTGCAGCTCAGGATCCATGACCAGTGACTGATGTACGAAAGCATTCACTGTTCTATTTCGTTTGAAAGGTATGTTTGTGTCCATACTGTGCTGGATCTCAGGGCCTGGGTCTTCTCCGTTAGTTTTCTAAAAGCTCAAGGCTGGCACCCTGTTCCATAAGCTGTACCTCTACTTCTGGCTTTTTGGTGTTTAATTGGAAATAAGAGTTCTCTCCAGGTTGGTTTTGAACTGTCGTCCTCAGATCTCAGCCTCTTGAGTACCTAGAAAGATTACAGGTACAAACCAATGGCACCTAGCTTTTTCAAAAGGTTTTAAAGATCAGTGAAGCCAGCCTCTTGAGTACCTAGAAAGATTACAGGTAGAAACCAATGGCACCTGGCTTTTTCAAAAGGTTTTAAAGATCAGTGAAGCCAGGCACTGGTGGCTCACACCTGTAATCCTAGCTACTCAGGAGGCTGAGATCTGAGGATCCCAGTTCAAAGCCAGCCTGAGCAGGAAAGTCCGTGAAACTCTCATCTCCAATTAACCACTAGAAAACCGTAAGTGGTGCTGTGGCTCAAGATGGTCCAATGTCCCTCATCTGGGGGGGGGGGGGTGTCTCTGGCAGCTTACCTGCAGCCCATGCAGACAGGCCTCGGCCCCACGGCCCCACACGTGTCTTCAGGTTGTGCCACAGGAGTGGGCAGCATCCTGGGCCTGGTTTGGGCTCCACTGGTAACATCTGGCGGTCTACAGCCAACACAGCCCCTGGTTCCAAGCTGCCCTTGTGGGAAACTGACCTGGTTCAAACATGTTCTCTAATGCACAGATGGCACCCAAGTCCCTTGGCTTAGGGTCCATCCTGGCCCCAGTGGCAACCCTACCCCACGTTACGGCTGGGCATAGCCACCCCCCCCTCCCCCAGCAGGCCCTTGATGCCAATGTGTCTCCATGTGGACCAATCCTGCTGCTGGCCAGGCTCTTCCTTCCCAGCTTCAGCTGGCTCTCTCAGCTTTGTCATCACCTCTGAGGAGAGTTCCAGGCTCCCAAGTAAGCTGCTCAGCTTCTACCTGCCCACAGGTCAACTGCTATGTGGAGTCCCAGCTACCTCGTATCTAAGATGCTGGGTCTGCATCTGGAAGCCATGTCTTTTCCACTCTTGTCTGCCCCAGTGGGAGCTAGGCCTGGGCTTGCTAAGCCAGGGGGGCACTCTCTTGGTCCCTGGCCTGCCCGATGTGGCGGTGACCCCATGAAGAAGAGTCAGCCTGGTGACCAGGCAATGCCAGAGGACCCTGTCCACACAGAAGATAGGAGGCGCTCTCGAGGTCCCCATCCGTTCTGGCCAGTGGAAGTCACTCAAAACACTCGAGAGGCCTGCTCATGTGAAGAGGTAGAGGTTTATTGGAATATAAACATTCGAGAACATGTAAGATAGAAAATCACAACATATACAGACACTTGCTGCAAGGGGATGTCTGAGGTATTTATTTATTCTCGGCCTAGGCTACCATGTGCTATCACATTTTTCCTGGTTAGAATACGAACAAGATGGGAAGGGAGAAAGGACCCCGCTGCCCTGCATGGCTACCCACCTCCTGGCCTCCAGGGGAGAACTTTGGGAAAGCCAGGGTTGGATGAACTCCTGCTGGCCTGGAGAGCAGCAAAGGGCAAGGTGGGCAAGGGAGAGGTGGGCAAGCGGCCCAGGGAAAGGAGGCGGGTTAGATGAGCACTCAGTATACCATCCCGTGTCCTCCGGGTGGGAAGAGACCATCCTTCCTGACATCTCCTGAGAAAGACACTGGGGGAATGGCTGAGACTCGGGCAGGCCTGGGGCTGTGTCCTGTGCTCCTTGCAACTTCCCTGCCCTTGCCTGCCCACGCCTGGTACGTAAGGCTTCCAGGCCCCAAAAGGTAATGGGCTGTGTGTGTGTGTGTGTGTGTGCGCGCGCGCGTGCGCGCGTGTGTGTGTGTGTGCGCGTGTGTGTACTTTCATGCCCTGGCAGAGATGGAGGCAGCAGCCAGCAGCTGCCCTGGCAGAGATGGAGCAGGGAGGAAGGAGGAGGCAGCTGGCAGATATGCTGCTCCCAGAGCTGAGGTATGTCTGTGCACAAGTTTTCCCTTTCCCTTTCTTGTCCCACCTGGAACTAAATGGGGCGGGCCAGGGTTTCGGCCACTGCAACCAGGAGTCACAGTACGGGGTGGTCTACAGAATGGTGTAGGCTGAGTCTGGTTAAGCATCACCATTTCTTGGCCACACAGGCGAGTTGGGCCAACATTTCATCCTGGGCAGTGTGGTCTCTGGCAGGTGCAGGCCCTCCAGTGTCCTGAGGTGGGAGTGCCGGGGAGGGGAGCTACCTGCCCACCCTAGCAGTGGGGTTAGGGGTGGCAGGAGCCACCAGCAAGCTGGGGCCTCTCCATAATCCCTCCCACCACATCGATCCCTGAGTGGCCCGGCCCGCTGGCCGGGGCGTGGCAGGCTGGCTGTCAACCCCACCCAGGGGGGCGAGCTGCTCTTAATTCTTTGGTGCTACAACAGCAATAATAACAATTTAAAAAATAAAAAAAAAACAAAAGTCAGCAAAAACACTTATAAAAAAGGTTTTCAGAGATGCAAATACTTCCTGAAGGATCATGCATCAGCAATTACAAATCTGAGGTATTTCAGTGAGCCTGACTTCGGCGGGGCTGGGGGCGGGAAAGCCCCGGGAGGTGGGGCCAGGGAGAAGCAGCTTTCTGGGGAGAGCTGGCTAACAAGGGTGAAGGGGGGACCTGAGGTGTGGGGGAGTCAGAACAGGACCCTGAACTGGAACCTGCCCGCGAGTGCTGATTCAAGACTTGGCTAGGAGGGACCCACACCCCAGAAATCAAACAGTAGGCGAGAAGGGCTGGGAGGGCACCATCCCACACTCAGCAGACAAGCCATGAAGGCAGGTGCCTGGCTCTTGGCAGCCCCACATGGTATTTTGAGTTGTGGGACTGGGCAGAGGCAGAGACCAATGGGCGTGGGGTCAGGAAGTGGCGTGGGGTCAGGACAGGAGGTGGAAGAGGGAAATAAATTAAGGAGGAAGGGAAATGAGAGGGCGTCCAGCCCTGCGTCAGCTTACAGATTGTCAATACACTGCCCTGGGGTGGGAGGTGGCCAGGGAACCCTCTTGGAAGCTGGACACCCAGACCCCGCCCAGTCCCCAGGGTGATCCCTGATTGGACAACGCTGCTCTGCCCCGCCCCTTCAGCCCCTCCCTGCCCCCAGAGTACAGCAGGACCTGAATGGAGCCTGGAGAAATCCAGACTCTCATGTGGCTCCATGAGATGAGGTAAATTCTGTGCATCAGCTTCCTCCACTCTAGGCAGAAGAGGAGTTGGTGCTGGGTGCTGCCCGTCAGAGGGACCAGCTGGTGGAGGGCTCTGCGCTGGGGGTGCCCCTGGATGAGGTAGGGCTTGGAGAGCAGTGGGAGCTGCTGCTGCTGCTGGCGCCGCTGCCCAGGCTCTGGGGAGCAGAGCCTGCGATGAGGTGCACCACAGGTTTCTGGGCAAACAGCACACCTGAGGGAACAGGTGCAGTTCGTTTCAACAAGCCTGGGTGCCTGACACTGACTCCAGTGCCAGGCGGGGCCCTGAACATCTTGTAGAATACTTGCATATGGACAGTAGGGGCTGTGAAGCCCTGGAAGTTGGAAGCCTAGGAGGAACACCATGAGCTCATAGGTCTCAGGATGCTCTGGGGGGAGAGAGGAGAGCAGGGGCCTGCGGGGGAGCTGCATCAGCTACAGCAAGGATGGGTAGGAGAGGAGCTCTGGGTGGGTGTGATGGGCGGCAAGCTCTCCACAATGTCCTCCAGCCTCCTGGGCTGGACAGGATTAAGGCAGGGGGGGCAGGTAACTGGCTCTCTCTGGCACTCTTTTCTTTCTGTGCTAGTCCTGGGACTTGAACTCAAAGTCTGGGTACTGTACCTTAGCTTTTTTGCCCAAAACTGGTACTCTACCATGTGAGCCACAGCTCCATTTTTAGCTCCCCCCACCCCACCCTGCTTAATTGGAGATAGAGTTTTATGGACTTGCCTCCCTGGCCTGGCTTTTTACCATGTCCTCAGATCTGTCTCCTGTAGCTAGGATTACAGGGTTGTGGGGAGCCTTAAACTCCTCACCTTCTCCATCACCCTCCCTTCTCCTGGGAAGAAGACAAGAAGATACAGAGACCAAGCCCTCTGACAGACTCAGGCCCACCTCCAAGTATCTTAAGCCACAACAGTCCCATAAGGCCCCAGGCCCAAGGATTGTGGCCTGCAAATGCAGCATGGGCAAGCCAATCTGGCATGGCTGCTTCCCCTCCCGTCCTCCCAGGAGCTCAGGGCCCCACCTACCTGCATAGGTGGTACCATCGATGTCCACGGACATGTTAATGCTCCCGATGCTGCTTGTGGTCAGGTTGAGTGCTGCAGCTGAGGCCTCAGCTCTGTCTTCTGCAGGGGACAGACAGAAAGCAGGCTGCTCAGGCCCCGTGCTGTTCTCCGGGCTGCTGCCGTGGCCACCTCGGATGGAGGCCTCACGTAGAAAGCATCTGCTCACCAGCTCCTGGGCACAGGGCCTGCCAGGAGGGCCTGTTTTGCCAACTTCCTGTTGCTGGCTTTCTCTGGAGGGCCAACTCTCTCCCCCAACTGCTCTCAGCATAGGGACAGCAGCTGGGGGAGCAGGCTGGCCAGGCTGGGCACCTGTCCTTCTGAGAGCCTACTATTAGGCCCAAGAAATTAAGCTGTGGCTCTGAGGACCTCCTCCTTCATGAAGAGGGGGTTGTCTGTAGCACTCAGCACCGCAGGGCCATCTGGGCAAATGGCACAGAGAATCTGGCCTGAATCACCCCAGATTCTGCCCTGGGTGACACACCAGGGCACCTGGCCTTGAGCGGGGCAAGCTCCTGCTCTCCCTGTATCTCCTTCAGGAAACAGTGGGCAGGGAGGGGCTGTGCGGGCATCTGTCACTCACCTCACACCTGCCTCCCCTTCTAGGGCAGGATCCCCAGTACCAAAAAAGAGGAAGAAGAAAAAAGAACGGCACTGAAAAGCTGTATAAGGAGAGAAGAGGAGGAAGAGGAGGGAAATGGAATGTGTGGTATAGAGAATGAGGGAAAAGGAAAATCTGGCAATTACATTGGCAACCTTGTATTTCCTACTTTAGTGTGTGTGTGTGTGTGTGTGTGTGTGTGTTGGTACTGGGGCTTGAACTCAGGGCCTGGGCACTATCATTTATCTTTCTCACTCAAGGATAGTGCCCTACCACTTGAGCTGCCTCTCCATTTCTGGCTTTTTGCTGGCCAACTGGAGATAAGTCTTACAGACTTTTACCCAGGCTGGCACTGGACTTCGATCCTCAGATCTCAGCCTCCTGAGTAGTCAGGATGACAGGCGTGAGCAGCCCCCAGCATCTAGCCTATTTCCTACTTCTTATTGCTGAGAGCAGCCGGCAGCCCTGCCACTTCCCTGCCCTGGCCGAGCCCCCAGCATGACAAGGCTGTCACATCTTCCTCCCAAACATGGAGCTGGGGTAAGGTGTAGCAAGCCCTGCCCTGTAATTTGGACAGATCAAAGGCGGGTGGAGGGAGGGTCACTGAAGCTGCCCGGGCCCCTTCTCTAACAGCTGCTTTTCCTTTCAGCCAGGGAACAAAGCTCTGCCTGAGGCAGCTCCTGGCCCCTTAGAAGTCCTCCAGGTGGTATGCTGCCATGGCCACCCCTTTGAGGCCAGGAGAGGAGTGTGGAGCCCCGAGCTGGTGCTCACCCCTGCCGTTGATCCTGACTTTCATGGGGAGCTGCCTGGCCATGCTTAGGAAGTTGCGCTGGAAGGCCTGCTGGACCAGCCGCTGCTCCTCTTCCGACAGCCTGGATGCCTTCTTCTCAGCGGGCTCCCCCGACTCGAGCCGCTCCCGCAGCTGCTCCAGCGTGGCAGTGCGGGTGCCAGCCTGCTGTCCTGCCATGCTCACAGGCACAGCCAGGCGATTTGGCACGGGTACTGTGGTCACTGGGACTCCGTCGCCTGTGAAGGATGAGCTAGACCAGTCCCCAGACACAGTCGACCCGAAACCCCATCTCAGCTCAGACCCTGGCAAACTGGTCTCCCTCCCAGCCCCCCACGCACCTTTCCTGAGAGTGGTGGCTGGGGACATCCGAGGGCTACTGGCACTGGTGCCACTGCTGGAGCCAAGCCCCAGGAGGGGGAAACGGATCTTGGGTGGTGAGAGAAGGGCAGGGGTGCTGGGGGCAGCAGTGGCGGTGGTGGAGTAGCCAAAGAGGGAGGAGCTATAGCTGGGCCGCCGGCCCTCCCGCCGGTTGCCGTCGATGGCTGCCTGGAGCTCGGCTGGGGAGCTCAGGGCTTTCTTCTCACATTCGTAGGCATACAGGTACTTCATGTACCTGCAGGGGAAGAAGGCAGGAGAAACATCTCCAACACAGCACCACATGGACATAAGACGGGGCTCACCAAGGAGCTGGGGTCGGGAGGTTGGGGCGGGGGGGGGAGGTTGGTGCCCTTGACTGGGGGCCTCAGGGCCCCAGGTCCCTCTGCCACCTCTACATACTGCTCCAAAGGGCAGTGTGGCTCACATAGGGAGCTAAGTAACATCTTAGCTAACGGTTAGAGGACCCATGTCCTGTAGCTCCTCGATCTGGTCGCTGGGCCAGGCTGCTCAGATAGGAAAGCTTCTCATCAGGCACCAGGCGAAGCCCCTGCCCTGTGCAAGTCTGACACCTGTTCCAGGACAGTTTCTCCCCCTGTAAGAACCTTGCCATCCATCTCAGCTCAGCCCCGGGCTTCTGCAGGGCAGCCCCAGCAGATAAAAACCTTGATCTTTTCAACAAGACCACACAGCATGTTACCTGATATGTCAGCTGCTCACTCCCCTGTTCTTCATGAACAACTTTCTAGAACATTCCAAAAGAACAAGCCCCTCTGGCCTGTGCGCTCTAGTGCCACACTTGCCTTTACTATTTCTATACCTTCCTCCAGACCGACTCAAATGGTGGTTAAGACAAGGCAGCCATCTGATGGAGCTGGGTGTCAGTTGCCTGGCAAGGCTGGTGCTCTGCCACTTGTGCCACAGCTACACTTCTGGATTTTTGCTGGTTAACTGGAAACTCACAGACTTTTTGGCCCAGGCTGGCTTTGAACTTTGATTCTCAGATATCAGCCTCCTGAGTAGCCAGGATTACAGGTGTGAGCTACCAGTGCCTGACTAGAAACTAGAAAATGGGGATGCAGGATGTGTCTCTTTGCCAGGACTGAGTGAGGCCTAAGTGAAACAAGCACCCGGGGGAGCCGAAGGCCTCCTCTTCATGGGCCCTGTGTTTCCACATCCTGGTCCAACACCCAGCGTACTCACTGGGTCCTGAGGGTAAAGGCGGCACTGGTGATGGAGGTGGGCAGGCTCAGGCCCTTGGTGATCTCCCTCCAGATCTTCTTGTTGATGACCTCCACCAGGCCCCCCTTCTCTGTTACCAGCTTATAGAGTGTGTACAGGTCCAGGATCTGCTTGGCCATGATGGGGATCCGGTTGATGGGGGTCCCTGTAGTAGTCCAACGAGAGACAGAGGGCCGTGTCATCAACAGTCTGAGAGAGAAGGCATCACACATGCTCACTTTTTAAAATTTTCACTTTCGCTGTGCATTGTCCCTGAGCTTTTTCACTCAAGGCTGGTGCTCTACCACTTGAGCCACAGTTACACTCACAGCTTTTTGATGGCTAACTAGAGATAAGACTCTCCTTTCCAGGGCTGGGAAGGTGGCTCAGTGGTAGAGTGCTTGCCTTGCATGCATGAGGCCCTGGGTTCAATTCTTCAGCACTACATAAGCAGAAAAAGCCGGAAGTGGCGCTGTGGCTCAAGTGGTAGAGCACTAGCTTTGAGCTGAAGAGCTGAGGGACAGCGCCCAGGTCCAGAGTTCAGGTCCCACGACCGACCAAAAAAAAAAAAAAAAAATAGACTTTAGCTTCCCAAACTGTCTGTGAACGTGATTGTCAGATCTCAGTCTCACGAGTAAGTGGGGTTACAGTTAAACCACTCGTGCCCAGCTACCTTTAGTTAAGTCAGGAATAGTGCTCATGGATCTACCTCGCGTTATTTGACTCGAACTCCTCAAACCTGAATGCTACCAGACTGTCTTCCAGTTCTTTCTTTTTTTTTGGTCAGTTGTGGGGCTTGAACTCTGGGCCTGGGAGCTGTCCCCCAGCTCTTCAGCTCAAGGCAAGTATTCTATCACTTGAGTTATAGTGCCACTTCCAGTTTTCTGATGGTTTATTGGAGATCAGAGTTGCATGGACTTTCCTGCCCAGGCTGTCTTTGAATGATCCTCAGATCTCAGCCTCCTGAGTAGCTAGGATTATAAGCATGAGCCAATAGCATCCAGCTACCAGTTCTTTTCTTTGGGATGACCAAGGCCCAATTTCTAGAAACTCTCTGGATCTGCTTACTATCCACAAATAGAAGCGGGGCTTGGCCCAGACCAACTTAAGGTGTGTGTAATCTTTCCTTCCTTTTTCTGTTGTTCATGGGGCTTGAACTCAGGGCCTGGGCATTGTCCCTGAGCTTTTTTGTTCAAGCCTATGGCTCTACCACTTTTCTTTTTTTTTTTGGTCGGTAGTGGGGCTTGAACTCTGGGCCTGGGCACTGTCCTTCAGTTCAAGGCAAGCACTCTACCACTTGAGCCACAGCGCCACTTCTGGTTTTCTGGTGGTTCATTGGAGAGAAGAGTCTCAAGACTTTTCTGCACAGGCTAGCTTTGAACCACGATCTTCAGATCTCAGCCTCATGAGTAGTTACAGGTGTGAGCCACCAGTGCCCAGCTTTGGCTCTACTGCTTTGGGCCATAGCTCCACTTCTGGTTTTCTAATGGTTAACAGGAGATAGGAGTCTCACAGACTTTCCTGCCCAGGCTAGTTTTGAACCATGATCCTTAGATCTCAGCCTCCTGAGTAGCTAGGATGACAGGTGTGAACCACCAGCCCCAGCTGTGATTTGGGTTTTGAGAGCAGTATAATTCCACATTACTTCACTATGAACTGGCAACCTGAGTGCTCCTTCACTTACAGCCTGCTTTCTGCAGTATGGAGATAGGGCTTTTTGCTCTCCCTCCCCTGTGCCTTGCCATGTCAAAGGCGCTGCTGGACACACAGGTCTCCAGGGGAATGAAAAGCCACTCAACAATTCTCTCCCCACTAATCGTTTGCCCCTCCCCCTGCACTGGCCTCTAAAAGAGGGAGGGTCAGAGCAGCTTCCGCCCCTCAGCCCCAGGGGAAGTGAGAGGAGCCAGAGACTTGATTAGGAAACCTGGCACCGGGCAGGAAGGGCTACTAATGAGCACCAGGGGACGGCAGGGAGGGCGGGCAGGGCTCGTCAGGAGGCGTGATGGATGACTGTCATTTGGCAGCCTCGGGATTAATGATCTGGAGGTCAGAGGGGAGAATTCCGCTGGGAAGGGTCACCGTCCGGGGCAGGGCTGAAGACTTGTTGCCTTTTAATGGAAACTCCTACTGTACGCAGGCTGCCCATTTGATCCTCTCCTCCCTCCTCCCTGCCCCGCCCCCACCTCACTAGGGCTCTGGCTCTCTAAGCTGCCTGATGGGTTTAGGCCAGCTTGAGCTCTTGTTTCCGATTCTCTCCTAAAGTGATGCCAGTGTTCTCAGCTCAACATCAGCCTTGCTGGCTCTTTTTGTTGTTGGCTTTTTTTGGGGGGGGGGGGAAGGGGGGTCGGTCATGGGGCTTGAACTCTGGGCCTGGATGTTGTCCCTCAGCTCTTCAGCTCAAGGCTAGTGCTCTACCACTTGAACCACTGTGCCACTTCCAGTTTTCTGAGTGGTTTTATTGGAAATAAGAGCCTCACAGACTTTTGTGCCTGGGCTGGCTTTGAACCATGATCCTCAGATCTCAGCCTCCTGAGTACCTAGGATTACAGGCGTGAGCCACCGAGCCCGGCTTGTTGTTGGCTTTTTTTGAGACAGGGTCTTGCTATGTATCCCAGGCTGGCCTCAAATGTGCACCCCTTCCGCCTCATCTTCCCATGATGGGCCTTCACAGGTGAGCTCACCAACTTTTCAGGGTGACTCAAGTCAAAGAATGGTGCAAAGCACTCCCCACATTTCTAAGAAGGCAGCAATGTGACACGGCGAGGCCAAGGCCTCTTTTCTAAGAGGGGTCCTGCAGACTTCAAAGACCCCTACCCCTGTCTTGACCAGCTGCTGTCTGGAGGGTCAGGATACAAAGGCCATCCAGTTTGACTTAAAAAATCCATCTTAGGCCGGGCGCTGGTGGCTCATGCCTGTAATCCTAGCTACTCAGGAGGCTGAGATCTGAGGATCGCGGTTCAAAGCCAGCCCGGGCAGGAGAGACCATGAGACTCCTATCTCCAATAAACCACCAGAAAACCGGAAGTGGCGCTGTGGCTCAAGTGGTAGAGCACTCGCCTTGAGCTGAATAGCTGAGGGACAGCGCCCAGGCCCAGAGTTCAAGCCCCATGACCGACCAAAAAAAAAAAAAAAAATCCATCTTAGCTACTCAGGAGGCTGAGATCTGAGGATCATAGTTCAAAGCCAGTCCAGGCAGGAAAGTCTGTGAGACTCTTCTCTCCAACAAACCACTAGAAAACCGGAAGTAGCACTGTGGCTCAAGTGGTAGAGCACTTGCCTTGAGCTGAAGAGTCCAGGGACAGCGCCCAAGCACAGAGTTCAAGCCATGAGACAGACCAAAAAAAAAAAAAAAAAAATCCGAAAGTAAACTGGGTGCTGGTGGCTCACTCCTATAATCCTAGCTGCTCAGGAGAGGCTGAGATCCAATGGGCTGCAGTTAAGAGGCCAGCTCAGGAAGAAAAATTCACTAGCCTCCATTTCCAAAACTACCAGCAATTAACAGGGCTGGAAAAATAGCTCAAGTAGTAAGAGTACTATACTAGCTAGTAAGCAAGTCCCAAGCAAGGGTGAAGCTCTGAGTTCAAATCCCAGTACCAAGAAAGAAGTCCTAAAATAAGCTGTTGGTTGTGGTGAATGTCTGTAACCTTAGCACCTGGGGAGCTCAGGCAGAAAGGCCTTGAGCTCAAGGAAATGAACCCCCCAAATTCCTATGTAAATTATCAGAGCTTACATTTGGGTCAGTGTCTTCCTGTGGTGTGTGGACAGCGGCCCTTGCTCCCTGGCAGGACACGGTAACGTGATGTTTGTCCGTCTCAGTGCAAACACGCATGGCGAGGCCATACCTGCCAGGCACCACCTGAAGAATCATGCTCTCCCTGGACAGCGTAATGTGCCACCTGTTCAGAATGTGCCCTTACTGCATCCCTAACTGGCTCCCTCTGCATGGCTCCCCGCTCATTTTTCCTACTGAGGCCACAGTTCTGGGAGGTGAGGCAGGAAGCTCAGAGTCAGCCCTGGCTCCTCCCTCCTCCTTCTCCCCTTTAAAGTTGAGGAGGCTCCCAGAGGTGCCTCACCTCTCACAGGCATCTTCCTCTGGGGCTTGCAGCCACCACCCAGGACCAGGCTCTCACGAGCTCCCCATTGGACTCCCATGGCAGCTTCTGTCCACACAGGTGACTTGCTCACACTGCAGTCCCTAAGCTTTCCTGCTCAGGCTGGCTTTGAACTGCAACCTTCCTTTTGGGTAGCTAGGATTGAGAAATGATCACTGTTTGGAGGCAAGTTGGATGAACAGGATGAAGGGACTGTCTTAACTGCGGGTGGTGTGTGGGCACAGCCATGACTGAGCCAACAGTGAGGATGCAGTTCTCCAGAGGGGAACTTCCCACGTCCCGCAGAGATGTGGCTTAGGTCAGAGGCTACACTGTCAAGCTGGGTGCTGGTGGCTCACTCCTGTCATCTTAGCTACTCAGGAGGCTGACAGCTGAGGATTTCAGTTTGAAGCTAGCCCAGGCAAGAAAGTCCATGAGACTCCTATCTCCAATCAACCACCAGAAAGCCAGAAGTGGAGCTGATAGAATACCAGCCTCGAGTGAAAGAGCTAAGGGACAGTGCCTAAACTTTGAATTCAAGCCCCATTAAAGGCACACAGGTGTGCAGAGGCAATACTGCCACAGATGCAGGAATTTCTGGATAGCCACACAGAGTGAACCTATAATAGATCAGGGCTGCCTAGAGTAGGGATGGACCTGGGAGATAAGCGGTCTGGGACTCTGCCTCCCCATCTGTGAAATCATAATTTGCACGACTCAACTTTCAGTTCAAGTGACCTATGAAACCGTGTAAGTTAAAAAAAAAAAAGAATACATATAACTGTCATTATTACCAAAGGGAGCTAGTCAGGTGCTGGCAGCTCATGCCTGTCATCCTAATTACTCAGGAGGTTGGGATCTGAGGACTGTGGTTCAAACTAGCCTGGCCAGGAATGTCTAGGAGACTCTTACCTCCTTGAGCAAAAAGAAGCTCCGAGGAGGCAGGCCCTGAGTTTAAGCCCCAGAACCAGCACCAAAATAAATAAAAAGGTGACTTGGTTTTAGAAAGCTGCCTGAATGAGGGAGTACTGTTGCCAAGCAGCGCTGGATGAGCTGGAGTTTCTCCCACGGGGGC